CATACGGATTGCGCTCGGTCCACAGCATTCAGCTCAAAGAGTAGATAATACGCACTAAGGCAAATCATTCGCTCTAGTGACACTTAGTGGTCCTGTAATGTACACTCGAGATTGCAGTTGGCTGCGCCGCGCGCGAAGTGGGCGTGGTGGCCTAGATTCGACAGACGCGCGGAACAGACGTTCCCATGAGGATCCTAGACCCCACCTGTCCCAGTTGGCTTTGGACGGTGACCACGATAAGGCCCATGCTCCGTATTCGAATAGCTGAAACGGCAAGTAATTATAGGGCTATCCAACATCGTATGAATTTCTAGCACCAGGACAGTTTAGAATTTTATTAGCAAAAATATGATATTAGGATACTCGATAAAACGTCGCTTCGTATATGCAACCTTTGTCTCGGAAATCAACATCACTGAGCTTAACGTCTGGTGACCATATTTGGAAGTTAGGAGGGCCAAACATGCACTGAACTCCCGTCACCTCTCGAATGGAAATCGATAGTATGGCTCATTCCTAAATAACTGTTAAACGCCGAGCCGTTTGTACCCCATCCTAAGTCTCGGATAATCTTTCGTTACGCTTTTTGGCTCCACCATTTTCAGATAGAATGAAAAGACAACGTGGCAAGCGAAAAAGCACTGTTTGAAAACACTATGCTTCTTTGGGAATAATGCGCCATGCTCTCGTTTACAGCTCAAAAACCTCTAAAATTTGATCAGCGCCTACTTCATCGTTTGATTAACATGGAGCCGTATGTGAAAAGAGTCAATGGCAAATGGCATTGGGCTTATCCTATGCTTGCGTTCCTTCCTTCCAGACTTAGCCCCTACAGGTGGAAAGTAGACTAAGTGTAAATACTTCTACGGCTTTCAATTTTTAGACCAGACCGCCTTGCCACAAAAGAATGAAAAATTGACCGAGGAAGTTCTTCCTCCTTATCATTGTTTTCTTTGAAACAGGCCCCATTCTGAGACACTTCAAATATAGCCGGTACTTGGATTGAGTTGTGCATAAGAAATTATCTTGCGTAAGCATCCACAGTTCACCGCTGAGTGTCCAAGCATTGTTGGCGAGATAAAGTGGCAACAAATAGAATTTAAAGAGGAGGGAGGATTTGAAAAGTAAATAAAAACAAAAAAACAAACCTTGTCTATAAAGCGTTTTGCATCCTCTGGTAATACCATGTATCTCTTTTGAAAATCATCAAATTTTCCCGTCAAACCAAATTCGTCCAGTGTTGCAACGCTCTGAACACATGTTGACTAAAGCTTCTGCAGAAATCAGAATGGATTTCAACTATAGATATTCCAAGATAATCTGAAGTACGAACTGTGCTTTGTTTACGAGAGACCCTTGAAAAACCGCTTCTTCTAAAAAACAACTCACAAGAGACACTTAAAAACGGCAGCTCATGAATAAAACCATGAAACCCTTTCCAGTAATGCATTATGTAGGCATGAACTTTTGCCTCCCACCTTCCACCACATTCATTCGTTCCTGATTTTCTCTTTTCAAAGCGCGGATACAGATTTTATTATCAACCATAAGCACTTGGGCCACTTCTACTTCTTCACTGGAACTGATATTTATCTATCAGTATCAAGCTCTTAGAGGCATACAAGGACCACGCACCAACATAATTGTCAAGGTGTCCCTTTCGTAAGACAGCTACCAATGAAGGTGCTTGCCCCTTT